ATCTTGAATTTGTGATTAATGATATCTACGAGTTAGAGAATTTGTGTCAGCTTTTTCTACATTCTTGGCAACTTTTACCATATATTTGAAGATTTTATCAATTATTATTTGTATCCATTTTCGAAGTTTAGGTTTAAGTCCTCATCTATATGTTCTGATTTTATATTCTTCTGGATATGCATTCTCAGGATCTACTTTACGGAGTAGATTGATGAACTTGTCTGTATATTCTTCTACACTGTCTATTTGTTGTAAAGTTTCAATTTCATCCTGCCATTGATCTACTCTTTTTTTAGTTCAGAAGTGAGCAGTAAATTAATGACTAAAACTATATGATAGATCTGTATTATTATTCCAAGCTGTCAATCAAGTGGCATTATTTCTTTCTCTTTTATCATATCAAAGAGCAGCAGCACCTTCTAAATATCCACAAACAAGTTGTACTTTTCTTGAATCAGTAATTCCATTAGCTTGGATAGCAATGTTAAAGTCTTTTAACTATTCTGTAGGATTATGATCATTTTCACAATATTTTCGAATAGAAATAATGATTTTTTCAATTAGATGATTAATTTGTTCAGCCATTCTATCAGTTAAGGCTCCAAGAGCTACAACTAGAGCATCAACATTAGCCATTTGGTTATTATCTTCTTCTTTGATTATTTCTGTATTTTCTTCTGGTTCTGAGTTGTTTTCAGATTCTGAATCTAATATGATTTGTTTTGAAGATGGTGTATTTTTTGAGTTTCTGGTTTCAGAATAGTATTCATCATAAAAGATAATTATACCAACTAAAAATAAAATTTCAATTTACTAAATATGGAAAGTAGAGAAATAAAGAAGAAAAAGTATAAATCTTAAAGAATTTTAATTGGCTAAATTATATTTATTTGGAATAAATAAGTATAAAAGTATAAAAAGTATAAATATATAAAAGTATAAAAAGTATAAAAGTATATAAATTATAAAAGTATAAAATAGAAAAAGTATAAAAATATAAAATGTATAAGAGTACAAAGTATAAAAAGTATAAAAAATATAAGAATACAAGATAGAAAAATAAAAGTATACAAATACTATAATTAATAATATATAAGAAAATTATGAAATGTTCTAAGTTCTTTATATGATTTTTATAATTTCGTAAAATATTACAAATTATGGAATTAATGAATTTTATAACATAATTATAACAATATTTTTTATAAACTGGTTTTTAATATTTTTGTTATAATTAAATTATTTGGAATTTCTCAACTTAAGATATTATAATTTTTTTTGTGAGAAGAACAAGTCTTTATTACTTTTGTTATTTTAATTAGTTAGTTAATTTATTAGTTACTTTAATTAATAATTCATAAATTAATTAGTTAGCACAGTTATTCAGAATACTATATATTATTACTTTATTCTTTTTCTCTCTCAAACTATAACAATTTCAGTAAAAATTGGCATAGGACTTAAATATTATTCTTATATTGTTTAATTATCTCTTCTAACTCTTGTTCATATTTATTAGCTAATTACCAAATTAGCAAAAAATGTGTAATAATAGTTAGATTTAAAGATTTGATCTGAAAATTATAAATTAGTTTTTTATTAATAATTTTTATTTTTACTAAGATACTTGTATTTTGTGTCTAAGTAGAGTTATTTAAAATATAATTATATATATATTCACAAATTTACATTTGATTTCAATTAGTATTGAATGAAAAATAATAATTTTTAGACTAATTTGAATTATTTCAGATCAGATTTAACTCCAATCTGACCTGATTTAAAATGTGCATTCTGGAATACTAGTTAGTAATAATAAAGAATTAATAATAAGAATATTTTTAGTATAATCTGCATATAAATATTTTAATTTACTTTTAGATGAGTTTGTAAAGATAATATTTGTGAATATTATACAATAATTCTCATAAAAAACTTTAAAATTTGATTTACTAACTTATAAATGTATTTGATGAAACTGAATTCAAAAATCTTTTAATTGTTATGAAATTGGAGTTGAATGACTTAAGAATATCTTTGCTCAAAAATTGAAAAAATTATTCCTTTTAATAAAGATTACCAAATGAAAAAAATATAAACAAATACAATTATCCAGCAAAAAAACAGAGATAGATCAAAAAATACATGAAAAGATAATTAAACAACTTAAAAATGAGCATAAAGTGGTAGAAATACAGCAAAATATAAAAATCAAAGAAAAAAATTATTTAAAGTAACCAAAAAATGCTGATATTTAACAAATTTAGAACAAGTAATCTTTAAAAGAATATTGAATTAACAAAAACAGAGATGGAAATGGTACTTGTAGAAATTTGTACTTAATGCAAATCCTAAAGAATGGATATAAAGAAAGTTTGGAAAGCTTGGTTATGATATCGAAGAAAATTCGTAACGCAAGCAAAATTTAAATTAACAGGAATTCTCCATAAATATAAGAACATTATAATGCAGTAAAATAATAATAACGACTTTTCAATTAATAACGATAACAACCAAACCAAAAAAAAGATTATAAGTCAAAAAAATCAGAAATAAATATTAATAACAACGAAAAAAATAAATAAAATAATATAAGCCAAAAAAATTTTATGTAATTATGTTTTTAAATCTCTCAACAAAAATAATTTTTTTAAACTTTTAATATGTAATATCATAAAGAAACTAAAAATTAATTCTCGATTTCAAAATCAGTTACGATAAATAAAATTTTAAATTGTTATTTTTATTATTAACTAAAAAATTGAAAACTATGATTTTTATTGTATGATCTTGAAAAATAATTCTACTACCTCCTTAAATCAACAATATGTTTCATGTTAAAATACTATCAACTTTTTACCAAAGCCAAAATTTAACCGATAATTTATAGAAAAGGACTTTCTTGATAATATTACCCGATTTACTTCTTAGGTAAGAAGTTGATAGAATTTTTAACATGAAACATATATATTGTCAATTTAAGAGTTCCTGCACCATATCTATTTTTCTAATCATTGATTTATTTTATTAATATCTTCATTAATTGTTATTACAGTAAAATGCAAAATAAATTTTTATTCGTTCTGGTTAGACTGATAAAAAATGACAAATCAATTGTCTTATCGTTATAGTTATTTCCTAAATCTGGTCTAATAAAGAATGTAGTTTTTATTTAAAAATATAATTTAATAAAAAAGACAGGTAAAAAGAAATATAAGTTAAGAAATGGTTGGATTAAGTTAATAAATAACGGTAACAATGATAATAAATGCGAAAATTCGATTTTTATTTCTCGCGTATCTCTGCTCTGATAGATATTATAACCAATATGCTAACTTTAAATGACGCTCGCTTCAAGGTTTTTTTTTGCTACAGTATTTATATTAAAAATACAAGTAGAAAATACTTGCCATTATTTTTTTTAGAGCACTGTCATAGTTTACCTTTAAAATGAACAGATAGAGCAGATAAAACTCTGCTTCAAATGTTTTATGCTGGTTGTCGACCACATAATGAAAAATTTCATGTAAAATAGGAGACAAGTTCTGTGTACGTTATTTGAAAATTTTTGCAGTCACCTAAATAGCACAAGTATCTATATTCTGATATCTACATTTTTAACACGAAATTCTTGCATAGAATGGTATATACTATAAATACACATAACGATAAGAGATGCTTTGCTCATTGTAATATCCCTTGTTTAATTTAATAAAGTGTAATGTACATGAGATTTGCGAAATCATTCCGCTCATGAAGAAAATAAATTTAACTATCTGATGAATACAAGGCAAGGTTGTTATGTTGAAGTCCCTATATTATTCAAAGCAAATTATATTGTGGTTTATAAATGGCGTATAAACAAATTTTAAAGTGTATTATATTTTTTATTTTCTAATTCGATAAGTTTTTGTATTATCAAAGGACTGGAAACAATTCACAAAGAAAAGCTGGTACATCGTAACTTTCAATCCGAAAATATATTATTGTGTATCTATCTTGTCTGCGACATCTATAAGAGTACGACCTCAAATGCAAAATAAAATTCTTGGTTGGTGCAAATCATCATTGGAAAGTGTTGGAACCATTTTACAGAAACAGAACAACTGCTGAGTCACTTTATAACTTTATCCAATCTATTCTCTATGTCAACCTATCGACTATGAGGAGTAAAATTGAATATTTTGCATTTTCAAGAACTACGATGTTTAAAAAATAAAGTTAAAAAGTCTCTTAAGCTTGAAAGGCAGAATTTAAGGATACTTTATTCGAGTAAAAACAATAGTCCACACCAGTTCGAAGCTTTACTTCAAAATTAATTTCCATTCCAACTGACACAGGTACTTAAGTTTCTAAATTGAATTTTCATATTAGTTAAAAATTGTATCCATATTAAAAAGATAGAAATTCGTGATTGTAATAAGTGCTTGTTGTCAAAAAAAATAATTACTCCAAAGAATGTTCGTTTGACATAAAAAATTTTATAAAGCAGAATGTCCAGTGAAAATAAAGAGATCAAATATCTAATAAAAGAATGCATGTAACTTCAAAAAATTTTCTAATGGAAAGATTTGTAATGATAAAAAGGGATATTGTGGTAATTTATAAAGCTTCCTGGCTGGTTATGCGGAATCATGCAGAACAAAACAATGTAAAGAATACGACATTACATTTACATGTATATACATGTATTGAAATCACAATTCAACTCATATTACGTACATGTACATGTACAAGATTCATAAATTCTATTGCTGTAACTGTACTGTTACGTTACGTATAAATGAATACGCACGTACGTACTCGGATTATCGTTATCTACATGTATATGATACACTACCGCTACGTACATGTATTTACTGTTACGTACGTATTTGTAATACAAAACTGCCCTAATTACATGTACTACATGTACGTACAATGATAACGCTTACATGTACGTATTAGTTTCATGAGAAATTTATCACAACGAAAAGAATAACGTATATAAAAAAATTCAAATGAAAAAAATATTTATCCTCCTTTTAATCAACCTAATTAGCGTTAGTTCTCAACAGTGCGATCCAATTCTTAGAGATCCACCATTAGACTCGAGAAAATGTTTCGAGAATATTGGACAAACTCTCAATGGCCTTGCTTCATTTTCACCAACACTTTCGAATCCTTTTTCTATGAATCGGAAGGGTGAAAACGGAACTACAATTGCTCTGATGGATCCTGAGCTATGTATTGATCATTGCGCTGACTATCTCTTTAAATATGCAGCTCTAAAAAATGGTGAAGAATGCTATTGTGCAACCGATAGTATTACAGAATATTACAATCACCCATCAAATGGTACATGCAATAGTACTTGTGCTGGCAACCCAACTTTCACTTGTGGTGGAGAAAATGCTTTTAAAGTTTATAGCACCACTACTAGTACCCACTACTCATATGGTAAAAACATTAATATCTATAAAAAACTAGAGCTGGTTTCTAAGAATAGTGACCCTCGCTATCAAGGATGTTTTCAAGATGGTCCTTCTTGTCGCACCTTAAATGGTACACCACCTCAAGTGGAAAATTCTATAACAATCGATGACTGCATAAATTTTTGCAATCAAAATAGTTTTAAATATGCTGGCCTGGAAAACGGACATCAATGTTTTTGCGGTAATGATTACACTGTAAATGGTCAAGCAAGTGGTGCACCTAACGAGCAATGTAGTACTAGTTGTGTGGGCAACAGCTCTCAGATTTGTGGCGGCCCTTTTGCTCTTAGCATATATGAAGTTCCCAACAAATCTTCAACAAATTCTACTCTAAAAATTGTAGGAGGTGTTGTAGGAGGTTTCTTAGCGCTTGTATTGCTACTTATTATCCTACGGCTCTGTCGCGGTTAGCATCTCTGGCAACAGTTTCGACTTGGTATAAAGTAATCAGTTCTATTTCTTTTTCCAGTCCCTCTTTTTTAAATTTTGTAATTAATTCTTTTCTTTATTATTACTTGAATATAACCACTTCGTTCTTGACCAATATTAACTAAATTTCGTATCTTACTTAAAAACTTACTGATGAATCTAGTTTTCGAATTAAATCAGAAAAACTTGATTATGGTTTTACTATCTTTTGATTTCCTAGGCATGTTTTTTTTTTAAATACTTCCCGTTCACTTTCATGTTCGGCTTACTTTGTATCACGCTCATTTTCTCTCATTTGTTTATACTTCTTGTCTCTTTCTATTTTAAACTCGTCTGATGTGTTCTCCTTTTTAATAATTTCAATAACATAAGCGGGACCGTTATTGTTACATGACTACAAACCACTATCATTAACGTTAAGAAATCATTCCGAGTTAAGCCATCAAAAAAACCAATTTGATTCTATTTAATTTCCCTATTTTTATGATTTCTGTTTAGTATGAATATACATAAATGTAATATGGAACCATCTCCTTTGTATTCTTTTATTTTGATTAATATTTTTTCATTTTTAAATTAATTTAAAGATAACCATTGTAAACGCCAGTGACTAATAAATAGTGATATCGATATGACTGAGATTAGGGTTAAAGCTATAGTTTTAAACACCGTTGAGTTTGATTTAAAAGAATCCTCATTATTTTATTAGTGGCTCACAAAGAAATGGAATACAAAAAAAATGGCGAAGTTTGAATATTTGCCATGGAGAAATCATGGATAAATTTATTAACTAAAAATACATACTTTTTTTTTTACAAAGAATGTATATTTCAATCAATTTTTATATTTTTATATTATAACTGAGTTTAGTTTTATTTTTAAATAAAAAAATATCTATCAATAATAAATTAAAATTTGATATTAACGAATTTTTCAGGTTATTAGAAACAGGGAATATTTAATTTCAAGTCAATACAAGTTTAAAATTGATAAAAAGTAAAAAGCATATAATATATAGTAACTAACAAATTTATTAATAAATATAGTAAAATTGAAATTTTTGTCTTATATAAATGATTTAATTTTATTAACAAATATTATTTACTTTTATATTAAACCAAAAATTATATTTTATATATATTTTAATTTAACAAAGTTATTTTAATTGCAAAATTATTGCAAAAATTTTTTATAATTTTAATTTTATGCAATAAATTTGCAATTAGAAAACATTATCAGATTAAATTTAAAAAATTCAAAAAAATATATATTAAAATATAAAATTAATTTTATTTTAATATAAAAATATTTATTAATAATACTAAAAACTTTTATAGTCAACATAGAAAGTAATGGCAAATATATTTTTTACCTATAACTTAATAAGAAATTACTAAAAATTTGGTATTATATTCTTTAGAATAATGAAAACAAAATTTTCTAAGATTACAAAGCATGTTAATATAGTAATATTTTGTAAAATTATGACTAAAAATAGTAAACTGGAGAACTATTCTAGTTAAAGAGCTATAAAATATTATTTAAAATATTTTTATAAGCAAATATGAAAAAAATTTATAAAAATATATTTAAAAATATAAAAAATATGTCTATTATAATTATATTATAGAATTCATTAATTTCATAATTTGTAATATTCATGAAATTATAAAAATCATATAAAGAACTTAAAACATTTCACAATTTTTTTATATATTATTAATTATAGTATTTGTATATTTTTATTTTTTTACTTTGTACTCCTATACTTTTTATACTTTTTTTATTTCATATTCTTATACTTTTTATACTTTTATACTTTTTATATAACCAATCAAAATTTTTTGAGATTTATACTTTTTCTTCTTTATTTCTCTATTTTTATATTTAATAAATTGGAATTCTATTTTTAGTTAGTATATTATCTTTTATATCTTTTTCTTGTTTTTAATATTATATTTGTATTTTAAAGAAAATATATAAATATGAGTTATAGTTAAACTCTAACTCAACATGTTGGAACTTGAGAATAAATAATATAATAAAACAAATATCTTTTGAATACTTAAACAATTTGCATTCCTCTCTCAAAAGTATATTTCAAATCTTGCGAATGAGTAGCTTTAAGACTGTATTGAGCTAATTAAAACTTTTATTATAATTAAATTATTTGGAATTTCTCAATTAAAGATATCATAATCGCTTTCTTGTGAGAAAAATGAAGTGAAAGAGTCTTCATTACTTTTGTTATTTTTGATATTTTAATTAGTTATTAGTCACTTCAATTAAATAATTTATAAATTAATTAGTTAATACAATTATTCAGAACACTATACCTAATTGAAATACTATTATCTCATTCTTTTTTTCTCTCGAACTATAACAATTTCAATAGAAATTGACATAGGACTTAGATATTATTTTTAAATTCTTCTTGTATTATTTAATTATCTCTTTCAACTCATGTTCACATTTATTAGGTAATTACCCAATTAGTAAAATATATATAATATATTGGTGCTCTCTCTGTGAAATAATAATTCCAAAAATTCTTTTATATTTAAAATTCCCTTTATGAATAATTATTATAATTTTATTGGAAAATCTATTAGTTTATATTTTGACACTCATCTTGAAGTTCAATATCAAAATACAATATCTCAAATAACTCAACAATATTACTATCATATCTGTTTTTCACCTTCTGATATTAATTAATAATCAAATTTCTAATTAACTTTCTTACTTGGATCCAAGAATGAGATGCAATATTTGGATACTTTAATTACTGAATAACTATTTGAAGATATTTACAAAGCAAATCTTATTATTATTGGAACTAAAGAATTGTAAAGACGAGTAATTCAACTATTAAATATTCTAATTTACCAAAACAAATATATAGTTAATTATTAATTATTATTAGTTAAAAGAATACTTGAAGATTTTCATAATCTGAAATTTGAAGAAGATTCCAATACATCTAATACTTATTATTCTGAAACTACTAGCAATATTGAAATAGTAAAACCAATAAATAATTATTAAAGAAGTAGAAGAAGAACAAACAGAAGAACAACAAGACTTCAACTTCCAAAATAACTAATTATACAAACTAATACTGAAGAAGAACTGAATATTTTTGATCAAAAACAATTATTAAAAGAAGAATTAAACTTTGAACCTGAAGAAGCAACTGAAGAATTCAAAATAAAGAAATGATTGTTAATTTAAATGATATTATTACAACTATTTTCAATAATTCTGTAATTAACAAATCTTATAAAAATAATAAAAAATATGAAAATCTTCAAAAATAGTAATAAAAACAACAAATCGATAAAAATAGTATATACATATTGATTATTTAAT